TAGGTAACTTTCATTAAAATAACTTTTGTCATAATTGCTGAAACTTTCACTATATCCTGACAGTACATGAGACAGATCAGACACAGTTATTTCCAGGTCATCAAATACAGATGCTTTGGGTCAAAACTAAGAAACGTGATCACATTTCACTGGTTACTTATTGTTCCTGTTACAAAGCCCTGAGGGGCCTCGCCCAATTTATCTATCAGACCTTTTATTGCCCCATGTTTTCTTTCCAGTCAATGAGATCCACCAATACATTGTTCCTGATTGTTCCAAGGTCCAGACTGATATGGTGATAGAGCTTTTTGCAGTTATGGCTCCTGTACTGTGGAATGACCTGACCATGGTCATTATTATATTATTATTGTTGTTATAATTATTATCACGGGAAGAGAGACATAGGTGTTCCTCTTTACATTAACAATGACTTTGTCCCATTTAAGGGCCCTGAAACTGGCAAAATTACTTCTTTATGGCCATCGTTAATATTATTAATTATACCTGTGCTTTTCCTAATGTGACACAATGTATGCTGTGAAAGGTAACAATGACCCCAAAAAACAAACAAAAAACCCATAAGGATCAAGCAGCAGCCACATAGCATACCTCCAAGTATGCCATTTAGCACCAATCCCTCCATAGACTTAGCTCGAGCTAGTTTTGCTTAGGCAGGACACATAATAAAAAAAAGTAGTTTTATTGTTTACATGAATTTACATCTTCAGCAAGAGAGGTTGGAGATTTGGGCCACGTGTCAACAAATCACAACAGATTTTTTGGACGAGTAACGTATAGAAATATTAATCAGTGAACGTTAGTTTCTGTTGAGATATGATAGTGTGAATACCTCAATACACAATGAACCCATTAATATTGATGTACACTGAGGTTACAGTGAACCTGAGCAGGTGCCTATTTGGACACAGTTGACCTCTTTCCATATTTTATTTACAGCTGCAGTTTACGGCATCGAGGAGGGACAAAAATACAAAATAGTTTAAAGAGTTGTTTCTCATCGTGCATGAGACTAAATGTAGAATGCCAGTAAAATACTGTTAATTATTCTCTGTAACAGGTCAGAGTCCAGATCTAGATGTCTGGATAAGAGGGAAGTTGATATAAGAATTTCATGTCAAGTATTTCAGTACTAAACTTTCTTTTACTCGATCTGGAGGTATTATTGTACATTTTTTACATCATTTTTGATCTGTTGATTTTACGTAAGTTCCAGTTTTACTCCTTGGTCTCCAACTAAACTTCTCATTCAGACGGTTTCAGCTCAAGAACCAATAAACATTATCCATACTTTCAGTTATTTGTGCACGTGTCTAAAACAGACTAAAGAAGTAAACAAGTATCAAACANNTGTTTGATACTTGTTTACTTCTTTGGAAGAACCTTGACAAAGTGAACTTTCTACCCTCTTAATTGTGATTGAAACCATGCCAAGAGGAAACAAACAGAAAAAAATATGAGCTTTGGACAAGATAAGGTAAGAGGAAGGCTCTGTATTATAACTTACTGAAAACAGAAAGAAAGGGGCAGGACTTGTTGCTGTATATAAAGATTAGGAGTACCGTTACCAAACACAGATAAAAAGCAGTCGCAAACAGAAGAAGGTGTAACTTACTGGTACACGGCGCATTTAACAGTAAATCAGTCTACAATTCTAAATACAGATCATACATCATCATCAGAACAAGATGAAGACACTGGCATTGCTCTCTCTGAGTCTCGCAGGTAAGAGATTTAATTTTTCTATTTTTCTATCACTTTTACTTTGTTTTTCATTGTGTTTAAAAAAATGTATCTACATGTAGGTTGTGTTTTCACTGTGATTGGTCATTTGCTGTGATTTGGTTTATAAGATTTGTCACATCCTAAAAGAGAGTCTAGTTAAGTATCGATTTTCTCAAATTATTCTGGTATTTGTAATTGTTCAAAAAAAAAAAATGTATTAGTTCAATATGGATCATCTGGTCTTATCTCTTACTCATTAAATGAGGGTTCATGGGGACCAGAGCTTCCATTTAAATAGCTCTTGAAATCTCTTATTGGACAATCAATCAGGTGACTACAAATATATGCAAAACGTCAAGAAATAGACATAAAACGACACCACCGTTTTGTCTTTTTTAGTCCGAGCGTCTTGCTCCTACGTAGGAGGGTTGAGGGCCTTTTACATGTCTGCACACAAACACTCTCATAGTCCATCTGTGGGTGCAGGTAGCGGAATCTGTTTGACTTCACCAGTAATTTTATTTTCAAATGTTCTTTTTGCAGTGGTTCTGGGAATGCCACCATTGTCCCGAGATGCGGGTCCAGTTCCTGTTTTTATTGAAAAACTCCAGGAGCCTCTGCTGGGAGATGTGCCTCCTGCGCAGGGTCATGTGGTGGTGGAAGATCCTGCACCACAAGTCAGGCTCGGTTCTAAGGAGCAGCAGGAACAGTTGGCTCCGGTGCCAGCGGACATCGAGAAGAGTCAGAATAAGGAGGAACTAGAGGTTAAGGTGAAGTCAGAAGTTGGAGTGGAGCAAGAGGGTGAAGTAAAGACAGAAGTTAAGGTGGAGCAGGAGCTTAAAGCAGAGCCAGAAGTTAAGGTGGAGCCA